CTGAGTGGCCTATGACATTGGGATGGACAAAAATTATATCTTCATTTCACTAGTCTCTAAATGGTATTCAGTACTTCCTTTGATCATGAACGCAGGCAACAAGAAGTTCCTGTGGTTTTGTCACTAAGAGAAATCACAGATGTTTTCATATCACACGTCAGTTACTATAGCTATCTCAAACTATTGTTTAAGCTACCGTAACTCTGAAAGTAAGATCATATCAGACTCACCGCTAAATCTTATTATTTAATGTATTAATAAAAAAGCACATGTTACTATATCACAAAAGTTTTTAAATATTTCAATAATTGTATTTTAGTAAAATTGTTTTCATTGCAATTCAAATGCAATATTTAAAAATTATTCTGAAGGCGGCCATGAGCTTCATCAGATGCCCATAGAGCCTGCAGGACAGAAAGGGTTAAGAAGCCACACCTGGGGAGTGGTTCCCCGCAGCCCTTTCTAGGAAGAATCTGTTCTGCCAACAGAATTGCCCTGGAGTTGGGGTGTGAAACCCTGAGGGAGGGGTGCAGCCCCGTCCTGGGCACTGGAGAGAGTCAGACATTCCATAATTATGTATTAAGCATCTGCTCTGGCACAGCTCCCACCTGAATGCTGGGGAAACAACAAGAACTAAAGTTGCTCTGGGGGAGCTAATGGGGACAGATAATCAAAAAGACCATCCCAAGATGCGGGAAGGGGACAGGGGAGGGAAACCTGACTGGGGAGGAGATGGCTGGCCAGAAGTTCTGAAGGAAAAGGAGGAAGTCACACCAGGGCTTGAAAAGATTTCCAGCTGACTCGTTGAAACACATGTACAAACAAAATGGCTTGGAAAATAGTCCTTTGGCCACACAGATACGAAAGCAAGATGCTGTGTGTCTTGCTCTTCGTGGGTAAGATGAGAGGGGAGGCCAACCTAATGTTCTAGCTAAGGTGATGAGCTCTCTCCATTTGCCCAGGGGTTTCCCTTGATGCAGGGCGTTGGGTGCTAAAACCCAGAAGGTCCCAGGCAAACCAGGACACGGTGGGCATCTTGGTATCAGCACATAGCTCTGGAGACTTCTGAGCCCAGGAGTCCTGGTCCTCAGCCACATGGAGCTCAGAGTGCAGCAAATCCAATGCTCCCATTTTAGAGACAAGAGAATTGAGGCCTGCATTGGGGTAGGGACTAGCCCCAGGTTGCCCAAATAATTGGTGGCAAATCTTGGTCTAGAATTCTGGTCCCATTCCCTGTCCAATGCTCAGTCCTACCCCAAGTGGTACAGTAAAGTCAGTAGTTCCTTCCCCATTAGTCCTGGAGGTCGTCTATCATCCAAAAAGACTATAGGTGGGTCCTCAGGGGGTGGGGGGTCCAACAGACAGTCATATCCCCTGGAGGGATGCCAGCCTCCACCCTCTGAACAAGGGCGAGTTTTCTTAGTGGGGCACCTCCATGTGGCCCTGAAAATCACAGCAGTGTGTCTGATCTGCCTGGCCTCTTCTTGGAGGCAGGAAGGGAGAGTATTTCCAGAGAGACGAACTTTTGAGCCAAAGCCAGCTTAGGTTTAGATCTCTGCTCCAGCAGTGCGACCTGGCAAGTCACTTCACTTCTCCGAGCTTCCATTACCTCGTCAGTTAAAGGGGCATAACTTCACCCACAAGGCCCTTCCTATACCCTCTGACTCTGTCACAGCCACCCTGCCAGTGCATCGAAGTGCTTGGAAGTCTCTCAATAAACAGTTGCTCAATGAATAAATAAAGGAATGAAAGAACGAATGAATGGCCACACGGTTTTCATTCTCCCCACCCCTCTGTCTTTGCCATTTCACCTGGTAAGTACCCCTCGTCCTTCAGGTGCCAGCCATAAGCACAAAACTTTCTCTGCCCTCTCAGCACCTACGAGGTCTAGATTGGGGTGCTTCTTCTAGGCTATCAGCATTGTCTACCCCATGACAGTACCAGGTACACCATCTTGTCATCGCTGGCTTTTTCATCCACATCTCTACCCTACTCCAACTCCAACCCCCAACACTCATTATACCATGATCTCCATAGGGCAGGGACCTTGAACCAGGATCAGGTCTAGTTCACCACTATAACCCCATATCCTACCACAGTGCCTGGCACATGATAGGTGCTCAAAAAAGATGAACTCAAGTAAACAAGTGAACAAGCTATCAGCGCTGGTAAAAATGTCTAGAAACTACATGATAGGTGCTCAATAAATGTTTAATTGTTATGTTTTAATTACATTTCTTTGTTTTACAACATATTGAAGCATACTTCACCTATTATACAATTCACCCCATTTGATGGTTTTTAATAAATTTACCAAGTTGTGCAACTATCACTACAAATCTGTTTCAGAGTATCTCATCTCTCTCAATAAGATCTCTCGTGCCCATTTATTGTTACTCCTCGCTTCTAGCCCCTGTCCCAGGCAACCACTTATCTACCTTCTGTCTCTATAGATTTGCCTTTTCTAGACGTTTCACATAAATGGAATCAGACAATACGTGATCTCCTGCGTCGTGACTCTTTCAGTAAGCATAGTTTTTGAGGTTCATCCACGTCATAGCCACGTTAGGTTGTTCCCTTTTATTGACAATCTCTTTTTATATTTTGATAGTTTGAATTTTTCATTACCTTATTTACTTTTCTGCACTTCAGTTCCTCATCTGGAAATAGACCTAATAAGAATATCTACCTGCTAGGGTGGTCATAAGGGTTAAATGAGTTAATACATGTAAAGTCAGCTCAGTAAATATTAACTATTATTACCATAATTTTTTTCATTCTTTTTGCTTAGGCAAATGTGGAAAGCCCTTAAATGTATAAGGAGGCTGGAAAAAAACAAGCATCTCTAAGGACCAATCTCATACCCAACGGCCTTCTAAGTTCCGTCCTGCTATCGGGGAGAGTAAACTTCTTTCTCCCCTGTGTCCCCCATCCCCACCTGCAGGCTGCAGTTTCTAGAACATTCTCATCAGGTTTCTTCATGGCAAAATGAAAGAGACCAGTAAAACATGACGGCACAGGGGAGAGGGAGTGGCTGCAAGTCTCATGTGATGCTACAGGTGAAAATTAATCCCTTAAGCAAAACAGCAAATTTTTCAAGTGTTCCTTCTCTCCTCCCGAAAACCAACGATAACAATAACAACAACAACAAAAAAAACCTGGCAGAAAGGGTGACTCTGGCTCACCTCTGCAGCTGCAGCACGTTGCCGGGCCTCCTCCTTGGCACCTCCGGGCTTATAAGTGGCTTAAGCTGTCTGTTGGCTCAACAATTATTCTGGGTGGGTTCGCCTTCCTTGCAAAGGGCATGGGTTTCACCGGCATCGGGGCGCCAGAGCATCCCACTGGCTGCCCAACAGCGCCGATCTTGGTCCACAGCCGTGGGGGAGCCCTGGTGGCTTTCGGCACCTCTCCAGGCTGCCGCTTTTGTGATACAGTAATGTGTCTCATGAAAGCCAGCTGGGAAGCACTGTATCACCTGGCAATATGGCAGTGTGGTGATGAGCAGGGGATCCAGAGCCAGGCTCCATCCAATAACTGTGTGACTATGAGCAAGTGACTCAACTGCTCTGTGCCTCGGTTTCCCCCTCTGTGAAATGGAATAGTAGTAGATACTGTGAGCATGTATAAGGCGCTCAGAGCAGTACTTGGCATGGATTAGGTGTTAGCTACCATGAACTAGTGTTCCTTGCACCTCTAGTATGTGCCAGGCACCATTCTAGGTGGTGGTTTGAGCTCCATGTGACAGGAAATCAAGGCCAGTGGTTGTGGGAGCCTAACCAGGGCCATGCCAGATTACTGTAGGGGAACCACGAGTTTGGGAGGCCCTTGCTTTCAGGCCTTATTCTCTGATTCCTATATGACAGGCATCCATTAAACGTCTCCTTTACCCTGCCTCCATCGCTAAAACTTCACATGTTAAAGACTCTCCTTACAGATGGGGAAACTGAGGCCCAGCAGGGTGAAGGAGCCTATCAAAGAACACACGATTCATGGCATAGTTGAGCTCTGAACTCGACTATGAACTCTGAGTCCTATCCATCTCGCTCTGACTGCATGCAGCTCCTTCCTCAATAACTCGAAGATGGAACATTAAAACATGGACCCAAGGGCCGAGCTGTTGAAGTGATTTCTGGCAACCTATTCCACAGAGGAAACCTTCAATGAGTGCAAAGAGGCACAGAGAAGCGAGGTGCAGGGGCATCATCGAGTGAGCCAGAGCCGAGATGAGAAAGAACGCCATGCCCTCCTGCCACTGGGCCTTTGCATATGCTGATTGCTCCTCCAGGAACACTGTTTTCCCTTCTCTCTGGCTAGCTCTTACTTATCCTTCAGATCTCAGCTTTGGTCACTTCTCCTTTGTTCGTTGTCTTGTTTTGACTTTGTATTGAGGCGCAGCTCACATTAAGCGCACAAACATTACGTGTGCAGCTCAGTGACTTTCTACGTATGCGCACCCGATATATTCACCACCCACACCATTCCCCATACACTGGAAGGCTCCCTCACGCTCCCTTTCACCGGCAGCTCCCAAAAGCAATCAAACGCTGACCTTTCTCACCATGGAACCCTTCCTAACCTCATGTAAATGGAATCACACAGTACGTTTTGGGCTTCTTTTGCTCGCTCTTATCTGTACGAGATCCATCCATGTACTTGCGTGTAGCAGTATTTTGTTTTTCTGCTTCGCCGTGTAGTATTTTCTGGGATGATCCTATCACGATCTGTTTCTTTTACTGCAGGTGGATGTTTGGGTGGTTTCTAGTTTGAGGCTACTTGGGGTAAAACCACTACAAACTTTCTTGTGTATGTCATTTGGTGAACAGATACAATGTTCCTCTTGGGTATAAATCAAGGGACGGGACTGCCACGTCCTGGGGGATGTGTATGTTTAGAGTTAGTAGGTACTGCCAGTTTTCCAAGCTGGCTGTACAAATTTGCACCCCCTTCAGCAGTGTGTGATGGTTCTGATAGCTCCATATCCTAGTTAATAGTTAATACCGTCAGTCCTTTTTATTTTAAACTTTCTGGTGAATGTGAAGGGTTGTAGCAATTCCCCCTAGAAGCCACTCTGCAACCCCTAGACCAAGGTGGGGGCTTCCTGCTCCTCTTTCTAGATTCGTTTCTCTGTAGCATCCCCCAGTTCGCTCTCTCTCTCACCTCATGCAAAGAACGCTCCTTGAGAGAGAAAAGGGCACCATCCTTCTGACCCACAGCCAAACCCTGTCACCCCCGTCCCAGGCCACCCATCCTCTTGCAGTGCATCTAGAAGTCCAGCCCTGAGGAAGAAGGGCTCTCTCTTTGATGTACCCTAATTAATATCAAGCCCAATGCTTAATGAGCTGGCTTCTTACTGGGTGTGAGATACCAGGCCTCTCTGAGCCTCAGTTTCCTCTTCTATAAATAAGAACGATACCTCTGCCTCATACGGTTGTGGTGAGAGCTGAATGAAATGCTATGTATTAAGTCCTTGGAAGGGTGCCTGGCAGAGGGGGAGTAACTCTCTGAGGTCACTCTAAAACCCACAGCCCTCTTTCAGGATATGACCTCTCCTACTTCATTCTTTTCATCATTGGAAAGCTCTACGAAGTGTCCAGCTGCATGAAGCAATGCATCCATCTCCACCCAAAGAGATGGGTCCCTAACCTCAAAAACCAACAAGCCCTGGGAGCCTTCTCTCTGCTCCACACGCAGCCTCTCACTCGTTCCTCACGTTACCCTGCTCGGTCAACTCCGATAGTAATGGTTCACGTGCCAGACATCGTATTGTTTCCCATGCACCATCTCATTCTATCCCAACCTCATCAATTTGAGGGAAGGGCTGTCATTCCCCTTTTCCAGATGGAGAAACTGAGGCTCCGGGAGGGGAAGCTTGGCCTTTGTTCCAGGGGCAGGAGATCTGAAACCTTAAGCCAGGTCTCGTAGGTCTGCTGCAATGTCCACACCAACCTCAGGACAAGCAGCGGGGTGGGGGGCGCCTCTGCCTGGAGGGCCAGGATAAGCTCACAGTTGTCAGGGAGGCCCTGGGCATTCCAGAAACCACAAGGGAGGACAGGGCAGGGAAGTCCTTACCCTGTGAGGTCCGTCTTCCCTACTGGCTTGTTTTTCGAGCTTGGTGAATCCCACTTACCTCATCCGTGATTTCTGCTGTGCAAACAGCTTTCTCACGTGTCACACGAAGCCCTGAGAGGAGGGCAGGGCCGGGCTTCTGTTGCCTCGTGGTCCTATCTCTGTTGAAACAGATGTCCCAGCAATGGAGACACCTCCTGGGAGGCGACTGCAAAGAAAAGGGTGAGTCAAAGGCCTTCTTCCCAGAGGACTGCCCCTTCCAATGCCATTAAAAGGAGGAATGCGTCTGAGCTCATCCCGGCCCAGCCCCCGATGACAGGAATGGCTCCCTAATTGTCCTTAATGCAACTTCCAAATGACTCGTCTCAGAAAGTCACTATGTCAGCCCCGGTGACTTCCTCAACAGCTGTTTCATAACTGCAGAGGCCTCGGCCAGTGAGAAGCTTCCTTGGTCTACCTCTGCCCTACAACTTCCGGCCCAGCTCGAAAGAGATGATGGGAGTCACCAAGGCATCCAGCAACAGGGGATTGACTAAATATGTCATGTCACATTCATAAGTAACACTCGGCAATCTAGAAGATAATACACACCTATATTTATTGGCATAGAAAGAGGTCCACCACTTATCACAGATATGAAAAGGCACGCTGTAAATCCCATTTAAAAAATGTTTCTCTTATGCCTGTGGGGTTGTCTGTGTGTATATACGTAGAAAAAAAATCTGTAAGGATATCCAAAAGGTCAGCAGGTGGTTTTTACTTTTTACCAATATATTTATGTGTTTTCTCAATAATAATAATAATTGTTAAAAAGCTCTATGCTAGGCGTAAGAGTGAGCAGTTTACCAGCGATATCTTATTTAATCCTCATATGAAGACGACAAGGTCGGTAAAATTCTTTCCTCATTTGACAGTGAATATTTATCACTTTTAAAAGAAGAAAAATGGAAAAACTTTTTCACTTTAAAAAAAAAATCAACTCGTATCACATATGGCTACAGAAGAGGCAATGGGCCATGTGGGGTGTAAAGATAAATTCTCTGCGTAGGATGTAGCCCTTGACTTCAAAAGAGGTTCCAGGTCCAGGTATCCAAATAACTGGAACGCTAGCTCGCATTTGCTAAGTGCACCAAGAGGTACTGAGCAGTGTTATAAGAATACGGAACAACAGCTTGTGGCCTTAGAGGGGCGTGGAACAAATACTTATTTATTGAGCACCTACTGCATGCCTCTGCTTAGAGCACCTCATCTCATTTGGGGCTCACAGCAGCCCTCAGAGTGGACATATCTTTCATCCTTGTACTCCTGAGGAAATCCAGGCTCAGCGAGACTCCGAAATTCTTCCAGAGCCATGAAGCTAGGACTAGTGGAGACAGGATTTGAACGTCGGTCTCCAAAATCAATGCTGTCTCTCCCATTCCTGACACTCCACCATCCCCAGAGGCGTGTTCAGGACAAAGCGGCTTTTGAGTTCAAACGTGCTTTGTAAGTAATATTTCAACAGCAGGTGAGGAGGCGAATGAAGGCCATTCTCTGTCCAGGCCTCACTTTTTTCACTTTTAACTCAGGAGTAACAGTACTAAAGTCGTAGGGTTAGTATGAGGATGAAAAGGGGCAGTAGAGATGATCGGGTGTGTAAAGCACCTTGAAAACGCACCTGGCGCATGGTGAGCACTCTGTTGGATGGAAGCCATAGTGGGCTCTGGAGTCAGGCTGCCTGGGTTTGTGTCTCTTCTCTACCACGTACTGTGTGTCACTGGGCGAGTGACTTAACTTCTCTGTGCCTCACTTTCTTCATCTGTAAAACGGGTGTGATAAAAAAGACGCAGCCTCATACTTTCGTTGGAACAATTAAATGAAGCAATACATGCAAGGAATTCAGAGCAACGCCAGCTCATAGTCAGCAAGAATAAAAATGGTCATCATGATTATTAATATTATTTTGTACTGCAAAGACTTCTAAAGTTATCAGTTCTGAGTATGTGACCTCAAGTTACTAACCTTCCCCCAGCCTTATTTTCCCCACTGTAAAATGGAGCTATGAGAGCTGCCCTTAAAATCATGGGGAGGGCATCTCTAACCACATGAGATGCCACTTCACACCCGCTAGGCTGGCTACCGTCAAAAATGATAATAATAACAAGTGTTGGTGAGGACGTGGGGGAATTGGAACGCTTGTGCACTGGTGGTGGGAATGTAAAATGGTGCAGCCACAATATGGAAAATAGTTTAGCAGTTCCTCAAAAAGTTAAACACAGAATTACCAGGGATTCCACTCCTGGGTAAATACCCAAAAGTTGAAAGCAGGGACTAAAACATCTATTGTACACCCGTGTCCACAGCAGCATCACTCACAGCCAAAAGGTAGAAAAAACCCAAGTGTCCACGGATAGATGAATGGATAAACAAAATGTGGTTTAGGCAGACAATGGAATGGGATTCAGCCATAAAAAGGAAGGAACATTCGACAGATGCCATATGACGTGGATGAACTTAGAAGACAATATGCTGAGTGAAATAAGCCAGTCACAAAAGGATAAACATTGTATGATTCAACATATGTGAGCTGCTTACAAAAGGCAAATTCGTAGAGACAGAAAGTAAAACAGAGGTTGCCAGAGGCTGGAGGGAGGAGGGCATGGGGACTTAGTGTTTAATGGGTACAGGGTTTCAGTTTGAGATGATGGAAAAGTTCTAGAAATGGATAGTGGTGACGTTGCACAACATTGTGAATACTTAAATCTCACTGGGTTGTATACTTGAAAATGGTTAAAATGGTACGTTTTATGCTCTGTATATCTTACTGCAATAAAAATAAATTTTAATATGTCATCTGAAAAAAACTCATGGGGAGGGTTAAATGAGACAAGGTGTGTAACATGCCCACCAAGTACATTCTCTGGCAAAAGATATAGTCCACACGACTCCTTGCTAAGAAGGACAGGAGACCAACTGAGGTCTACCAGTGACAGGGGTGCTGAGCCCTGTGGCATGCACGGGGTGCGACAGAGTTTGTATGGCTTTACTGTCCACTCTCCACTGGACCCCTGCCCTCAAGGAGCCCCCATCACCACGTGGAAGGGACCAGGCAGGCCCACCAGTGACACCCACGGCAGGTCAACAGTGATGAGTGCCAAGGTCCAGAGTGCTCCAGGAGGTCAAAGGCAATCAGAGATGGGGTGAATGCACAGGGCTGGGAGAAGCAGCAGGTGTGGGATGGGATGTTGTCCCATAAATCAAAGTCCTAGGGAATGTGAAAGTAAAAGTAAGAACAGTGGGACTACTGGGAACCTGAGAAGGCTTCCTGGAGGAGGTGGCCTTGAACTAGGTCTTGAAGGAGGCAGAGATAGGACACTCCATGGGGATCCCAGCTTTCTAGCAACCCCTCTGCTAAGGCTGAATGCAGTGAAGAATCATTTATGGAGCTTCTACCCAATGCTTAGCTCATTCGGTCCTAACAGTGACCCCATGAGGTAGCTGTCATTGTGCCCATGTTATAGATAGGAAAACTGCAGCCCAAAAGACTAACTTGTTCAGGGTGGTGGCATAAAGGTCCCAGGCCTATCTGACCCCCAAGTCTGCGCCACTCCCACGATACGAAACTGCTCTCCAAAGATTAGAGCAGGTCCCACTCCCCACAGGACCCCTCCCACTTCAAGGCCTGGGCACAACCAGCTTTCTGCTTTGCTTGCTGTGTTACCTTGGGAAATGTACTCAAGTTCTCTGAGCCTTGGTTTCCTTATCTGAAAAATGGAGAACACAAAATCCCTACTCAGAAGGATTTCTGTGAAAATTAAATGAGATACTGTATCTGATGCGCTCAGTACAGTCCCTGGTATATTATAAATACCCAACACTCGATAGATACTTTATTATTATTGTTGTTGTTATTATTATTTATTATGGTGATAACCACTACTGTTTCTATTCCTATTAAGACAAAGAGCACCTGCTAACAAGGATCACCACTTCAGATGCCTCCAGAGGCTGAGCAGGTAACACAAAACTGTGAATTGGGCAGTGCAAACAACACGGGGTAGTGGGGTCTGTGATGAAATAGAGTGTGCACGCCCCTGCTTAAAGATGGTTGTGGTATAATAAAAAATAAATATTTAGTCTTTATCCACCCCTCACCCCGCCCCCTTTCTTAGTTCCTGGCACAGAGCTCCTAAAACTTTTGGAATTTCTTTTGTGTGCAAATGAGCTGACTCCTGGGGTTCCTGGATAGCTTCGGGATGGGGGCCAGTTGTCAGAAAGCCCAAGTCCTGATTAGAGCCTTGGGACCTTCAGCATTCCCTCCCCAAATTCTGGGGAGGAGAGAGAGGCAGGAAATTGAGTTCAGTCACCGATGGCCAATAATTAATCAAACGTGCCTAGATAATGAAACCTCATTAAATTTTTTCGACATGGTTCAGAGAGCTTCCGTGTTGGTGAGCACATTCAGGGTGACACACCTGACCGGGCCATGCGTGGACACTCCATGTCTCCCACCCCCAACAGACTTCGCCCTATGCAACTCTTCCACTTGGCTGTTGCTGAATCATATCCTTTATAATAAACTGGCAAACATAAGTAAAGTGCTTTCCTGAGTTTTGTGAGTTGTTCTAGTGAATTATCAAAACCAATGAGGGGGTCAGGAGCACCCCAATTTATAGCTAGTTGGTCAGAGTACAGGTGGCCTCCCAGAATTTATGACTGATGTCCGAAGAGGGGGGCAGTCTTGTGAGACTAGCCCGTAACTTGTGGGGTCGGTGCGGACTCCGAGTAGCTCGCGTCGGAACTGAATCTAATTGTTGGACGTTTGGCGCTGCAGAATCGCAGGATTGGTGTGGGAAAAAAGACGTCACATGATCAAACTAACGAACAAACAAACAAATAAATAATGTCAAGTGATTGGAGGAGGCACGAGAGGACCCTGAGGGGCCCACCGTGCTGTGCTGGCTCTTGGCCTGCTGGGTGGTCACCCAGCTGTTTGTTCACCATGTGACAGCTCACCCAGCTATATCATTAAATACTGTGAATATTTCTGTCTGCATGTTAGTACTTTAAAATGTAACTACCATTTGGATAAAACACATTGAAGGTCAGATTCTGCCCCGAGGCAGCAAGTTTGCAACCCCTGAGTTTAGGTATTTCCTCCCAGATAGAGGACACCTGGCCACTGAGATGACCAGGGCACCAGGATTTGAGACTCACTTCCAGTAAGAGTGGGTGGGGCTGGAACAGGACCTAAAGGGCTCATCTGGTCCAGCTCCCTTCCCCCTGGATGCAAAGGACTATTATCCCCATTTCTCAGATGAGGCCACTGAGGCCCCACATCAGAAGGCACCATCTCATTTGGGGCCTTAATATCCCCAATAGCCTAACTCTGTTGTCTCATCTTCATGGGCCTCCTGAAGCCCCGTGGGAGCCTCTGCCTGGAAGGGGTAAGTGGGGTCCCGAGGCTACCTCAGTTGGCTTTTCCATCAGGCCTAAGTCACTTTCATGTCCTTGACTCGCCCTTGTTGCAATTTCGGTTATTATTTTTAGTGATGCTTATAAAAGATGCTTCGAGGCCCTTGTGCACCTCAAGGCCTGAGGCACTAACATCTCACCGATCCGAATTCATCACCAGTATTGTGATTAGTATTTCATTAACAATACTGATTTCCTGCACTGGCCATCAACTTGTCATTAGGTGATTTCAAAACTCTTAGCAGAGGTTGACTCACACTGCACGGGCTGGTCAGAGACAGCATTTTTTTCACCCTAGTCAGTGGCCTTGATCAGAACTTAGGATACCAGGCTGGTGGCCAGCAGGCTCCAGTAACACAGCCAGGCACAGCGTTAGACCTTTTGTGAAACTACATCAGTGCCGCCTCCCACAAGATAACGTTAGACTGTACAAGACACAGCACTTAATGACATTGACTTCTACAATGAGATACCTGCTTGTTCATTCTTTTTCCTTTTTTTTTTTTTCTCCTGAATTTGACCAGGAGAAAGTCTCAGTCTTTCTCTCATTTGTCCCTGACACCCCCTCTATCCCTCCTCTGTGAAAAAGAGAGAACAGGCCTTAGGCTCGGACACTTGGGCTGAACCTGATGAAAACTGAATGATGCCAGCTTGCTTCGTTATGCTATTTTAATGGTCACCTTCTATTTACGTTCAGTAGTGCTGATGAGATGTAAAGTTCCCTTTTCAGATGAATTTATTTAAGTAAAAGGTGAATTTAAAGAATGTATTAAAGTAATAACGGTCTGGATTAGGGTTCTGCAAACTGTGGCCCATGGGCCAAATCTGGCCACCTGCCTGTCTTTTTTACAGTTTATGAACCAAAAATTGTTTTTACATATTTAAATAGCTAGGGGGCAGGTAGGAATCAAAAGAAGAATATTTTGTGATATGTGACACATATATGAAATTCAAATTTCAGTGTCCACGATAATTTAATTGGCACACATCTGCGCTCATTGGTTTACATTTTGTCTGTGGCTTGTCTCACACGACAGTTGAGGACTGAGTAGATGCAACACAGACCAAATAGCTCCCATGTCTAAAATATTATTTGACTCTTTAAAGAAAAAGTTTTTTGGCTGGCTGACATGGCAAAGATCTTGGTGATGGTTCCAGAGAATGAATCCCTCATCAGAACTCTGGGAGGTTATCACCGTTTGTTTCACCCAGTTTACAGGTGAGAAGGAAACAGGCTCAGAGAGGTTTAGCGACTTGCCCAAGGTCACACAGTTAGACAGCAGCGAGTGGTGATCTGAAGCCAGGTCAGACTGCAAAGAGGCATTTGGTGGGCAGGGCTGAGTG